AACGAACGTACCACCTTCCAACCCTCTGCTCCGCACTCACACGGCACTTCCCAGATCCCTCCTTCTTCCTCTCAGGCATTGAACTTTCTGGCTTTTCCATGAATTTCGGGAAAAGCCCCACGAAGCTCCTACCGGGACCGCGTGCCCTCCACCCATCCGTACGGACACAGCAAGGTCCCCGCTGCTCCCGCACTCACCGACCCCGCAGCGCTGCTCTCCGGCCCCGGGATGTTTCCTCCGCGCTGCGCCGGGAGAACCCGGGAGGAGCGGGCATCACATGGCGCCGGCGGGGCCAACCCACCGCCCTCCTCCGTGCCCCTTCCCTCCTCCCTCCTTCTTCCTCCTTCCTCCTCCTTTTCCTCCAGCCGTCCCTCCGACCTTCCCCCCCTTCTCCATTCACCCTCCTTCCTTCCTTAAAAGCACCTTTCCTCCATCCCTCCTTTCCTCTCCATCCTCCTTTCCTTCCTCTTACCCCCTCTCCCTGATCCCTTTTATCCCTTCTTTCCCCATTCCTTCCTCTTCTTTCACCTTTTTTCTTGACTCTCTCTCTTTCCCTCCACTCACCCTTTTTTCACTCCCTACCTTTTCCCTTTTTCATCCTTTCCCTCCATCCCCTCTCTCTCACCTCCTGCCCACCTGCCTGGGACCTGGCTGTGCCACCTGGGACACCACTCACCTGGGAGCTGGGAAGGGAAAATCTGTCTGCAGCCACCGGAGTCAAACAAGCACAGGTCTGAGGACACACAGCCGACAGGGAGGATTGGAGGGCACAAAGCCAGCACATTGGAGAAAGCCAGCTTGGCAGTACTAAGACGAAGGTAGAGAAAGCCAGGGCTAAAGGAGAAAGGGACAAAGGGGCGCATGCTGCAGACCCTGGAAAGCACAGCCAGGCTGAGTGATTCAGCCAAAACACACAGAAATGAGTCCAGAGCCAGGAATGAGGCCATGGCTCTGTCAGGGTGCCCAGCAGTGGGACACCACCTCAGACACAGCAGGAAGGGCACAAAGCTTGTGCTGTGCAGGTGGCTCCTGCTGGGTGAGGGAAGCTCTTTGCTGTCACCTCCAGTGCTCCACAGAGCAACGTGGCACAGAGCTGCCACTGTGCAGGGCTCTGAGGGCATTTGTCCCCTGGCTGGTCCTGGCCATGACAGCGGTGACACGGGGCACGGCTACCTGGGATGGCTGCAAGGAAGGTACCTGCTGCCAGCAGGAAAATAACAAAAGTCATTTGTTAATTACAAATCTAATAGATTCAGTCTCTAAGAAATACCGGGTCACACTTTCTGCACATGCATTGTCCCAGCTGTACTTTTCCCACTCCTCAGCGCTGGGCTACAGCGTGGCACGTCTCCATCCATCCACCATGACCCCAGCCAGCAAAGCACCAACAGCCCGAATGGAATAATTCAAAATAAAGTGAGATATGAGGTGCAGAGGAGGTGGTGGCTGGATAGCTCATCTGAAATCAATGGAGCCGCACGCTCTGGCTTGTTGAGCTCTGCTTTGATTTACAGCAGTAATAAAAGCTGATGCAGGTGTCTAAGTTTTGATTTTTCCAGCCAGAATGTGGCAAAACAGAACAGAGCCAACACCTTTCAAACAACAAATCCAAACCCATTTTCTCCAGAATGGAACTGCTGTGTGATCTGCTTGGACACTGGGCAGGGTTGTTTGAATACAACAGGAAAAAGGCTGCAGTGCGAGCAGCCAGTGACATAATTAACCAGTACAGTGTAAGAGGCCCCCAGCAGCCATGCATATAATCAATTAGAAATACACATTTTGGGCCTCAGTCTCTTTTTTTTCCCCATCCCCTTCTGCTTCCATGCAGATGTACTTAGGCTAAAGCACTCAGAAGGATTTTCCACTGCTGCTCATCTGATCATGTGAACCAGGACCAGGTGTGAGAGGCACCCAAAGAGCACAGCAGAGCTCCTACCTGCTCAGCAGCACTTTCCCAATCAGCTGTCCCCACTGGCTGCAAAAAGCAATGAGGACCAGGAGAAAACCCCTTCTGCAGCAGCAGGCCCAGGCACCTTGCATTTCAGCATCCCTGAAACAAAGATCTTTGTCCTCTTTGTTCCCTGCTTTCATTTGATTCTCTCCTTGCCCCTATGCTCCCATCCAAGAGAGCTCAGAGTTCGCTGTGCAGCCCTGTAAGTGAGAGGAGGCAGGTGGGATCTGGCACAGCATGCAGTGGTGCAACCAAAACCCTGCACACAGCTGGCTCTGATCCTTTCATTTATGCACTGAATGAGGACACTTTCTGCAGAAGGAAATGAGGGCTGTTGCTGCACCTGTCCTCACACCAGAAGAGAAAGCCCTGGGTGGGTGCAAAGCTGTACTGTGTGATCACTTCTTCTGGCTTGGTAGTATTGGTCCTAGACAGCTCCCATCTCCTTTTGGCTCTCAGTGCTGAACTGCTGCATGATGTCCTCAGGGAACCTTTCTGAGAGTCGTTTCCTTTCTTGCAGAGATAACAACAAAGAACACAGAACATTGCCCAGCAAACGGTCCCAACATCCTGCCTGACACAGAATGAAGGGACACAGAATGATGGGGACCCTCTGGCTTCTCTCTGCTCCCTGCTATTTGCTGAATTACTCAGCTCTGCTCTGCAGGAGGATAAGAAGGAGCCCCACGAGCTGCCCTGCGCACACTGTGACATCTGGTGTGGTGATGGGCAGCAGCCACCAACCAGGGGTTGTCAGCAGCATTTTGGGCACAGGAAGGAAAAAGCCATACCAGCCCCAAATTCCAGCTTGTGCCTGAGGAAAGAGGACTGGTAGATGCAGTGACCCCAGCTCCCCAGAGAGCCCACAGCAGCTAGGAAATACTCAAAATGGAGGCTGCTGAGACGCTCTGCTGTGAGATTTGGGAAAATGCACAGCACCAAAGGATGCTGGCAGCTGCCTGGTCTCTGTTGGGTGGGGGGTTCCTGCATGCTGCTCACACTGCATCAAATTGAAGACATCAGCTCCGGCGCAGCCCTGAGCTCAGCCCACAATGTTGGAGCTGCAGGGGGAGAAGCACATGGAGAGGTGAGGCTCTATTTTCAGCTCCGCACCCACACACTGTGAGAAAGCTTAAAAATAGATATAGATTAAAAAGAAAAAGCAGAGCCTTTGGGCGGCAGCCTCCCAAGGGGCCCTGACTTATGGGGCAACAGAGGCGCACGTGCCAATGGAAGTTACACTCTTTGTTTAAAATAAAACGCCCTCTGTAATCCTATGGGCCTCATTCGAGCTGATGAGAGCTGAGGCTGTGTATCCTACAGCCCCACACGGCCCTGGGAGGGGATGTGAAGGGCCCTGCAGAGGTTGTGGTGTGGGAAGTGGTTTAGAGGGCACTCATTAAAACCTCAGAGCATTTGTATGAAGGGTAACAGTGTTCCGTGTGATTTGTATCATGCTGGGATTTGTTACTGATCTTTTAATGATGTTAGGGTCAAGCAGGCGCAAGAGCATTGAACGAGGTATCCCAGAAGGACCAGGAGCTGAGCCAAGCTCTCATCTCTGTCCTGAGCTCTTTCCTCCCTTCTGCTCTCACTTTCACCACTGGCAGCTTTCATCATAGAACCACAGAGTGCTGGGGTTGGGAGGGGCCTCACAGTTCACCTGGATCCACCCCCCAATATGGGCTGGCTGTCCCCCCAGCTCAGGCTGCCCTGGCCCCCTCCATGGCCTCGGGCACCTCCAGGGATGGGCACCCACAGCTCTATGCAGTGCCATGGCCTCACTGCCCACTGAAGGAAGAATCTCCCTCCTCACACCTGACCTGATCTCCCTCTGGCAGTCAGGGGATGATGCCATCTCCAGGGCAGTGAATGCAGCAAACCCCTGGAAGGAGGCAGCACTGATTCATTTCCCATCATATCTGCCTTGTTTCATCCTCTCCTTTGGGAAAAATGCCCTTAAGAAAGCTACGTGGCCAGCTCTGAAGGTGCAGATCACCTCTCTCTGTCCCTGGTCGGACCCCTGTCGCCCTGTGGGAAGGTGACAGACACCTGGTGCCATTGGGGAAAGCATCTGGCCACATCCCTCCTGAGCCCCTCCTCGGTTCATCTCCACAGGGCTGACTATGGATTTTTCCAGCACAGCAGCAATGATGCCTCTGAAGAGCCAGGTGGGATTCTAATCACCCTGCAGTAATTAATGCAACCATCACTTTAGCTACTCTAGCAGTTTGCGGAGAGGTGGTTCTATTTCCCACACACGTACCAGCACTGCAAAAATCCTCTGGGCTGGTGAAGCCAAGCACCCAGAGCCCCATTGGAATGGCCGAGGGGATGGGATGGATGTGGGCAAAGCCCGTGGTGCCCCCAGCTCTGGGCTGTGTGCTGCAGGGAGCGCCAAGACTGGGAGGGGAGGTTGGCACGGGCTGCAGAGAAGCCGTGCGCATCAGATGGAACTGAGCAGTGGGGGGCAGCCTGGAAGTGCTGTTTCCACCAATAAAATAAAATAAAATAAAATGAATAGATTTCATGCATTCCTTTGGGCAAAGTCAGCCAGATTTTTCTGCAAATTAAACTCACTCAATTACTGAGTTAGCACAAGATGCAATATGTCTGAGAGCCAGCCGAGAAAGAATGTGTCCGTCTTGTTGCAGCGTTTGTACACGGCTTCCGAATCTTGAAAATAAAATGACATCTGCCCCAACAGGGGGAGCACCAGGCTGAGGTGCAGGAAACCCACTCCAGGAGCTGCTACTCCACCCCTAACTCCCTCTGTCATAACAGCAGCACTTGCACCAGATCTGCAGGCTGTCTGTACACACACCCCTTTTCCCTCAGTTTAGCCTCTTGTTCTCTCAATTTATTAACAGGAATTTAACAAGGGCCTAGGTTGGCATTCTGTGCGTGAGGGTTTCAGTCCAGTAGGATTCTGCTCTGGATGCCGGCGAGGCCCATGGCTGATGGAGCATGGAGCATCCACACCAGAGCATCTGCACAGCACATTTGGAAATGAATTCCCACCAAAGCAGAGCAAACTCTTGCAACATAATGATCAGTATTTTTATTTGCACACACTTGCTTTGAAACTACAATTCATATTTAACAAAAGTGTTTCATGCCAACAAAGACTGAAGATCTTGAGGAATAAGAAAAAAAGAAAAAAAAAGGAAAAAAAAAAGATGCTGTAATTTATAGACCGGTTTTGCCCACTACACTTCCAATGTGGTTTTTCTGATTTGGCATCTCTCAGTTTCCCGGTAGCATCTTGCAGAAAAATAAACCATGAGAAAATGAATAATGTTCTCCTCTTTATAAATACAAGCGTCGGGTATTAAAATAACATCCATAAATATGAATGACTCAAGGTAGCACGGCTCCTTGTTTAAATAAAGGATAGTGTTGAAACAACATGCAATCATTTCAAACGTTTCAGGTGTGTTTTGCATCGTTGTACAAAATCAAACAGGAGTTGGGGTCGCCCCAAGTGTGTTCAAAAGAGATGGCACGCTTCAGGTCGTTGAAATTATTTTTCTTACATTCATGTTAATAGCTCATAAGAGAACTGGTGAAGGGCTCTGTTGGCTTCTGTGTGAGGGCTGGGGCTGTGCTGGGCAGGGTGGGAGCCGTGGGGAGCGCTGCTGGGGCTGGGAGCAGGACGGGATCCAGTGAAGCTGTGGAGCACCGGTTGGGTGCTGGGCGCTGTGTTCTTCCCTTACTGCCTTGCTCCAAGACAGCTGCACTCCGGACCTTGGAAAGATCAAAGCACCTGCATCACTGCCATCAACAGCTTTGCTTCCCTGTGACTGGGAGGAATACAGCTGTACCACTTCCAATAATTGATGGGAAAAGGTTTATAAATCACAGAGACCTCATTTCCCTCTCTGTTAAGACATTCCTGCCACCAACACTTCTGGCTTTTAAATTTGGACTGCGGCGTCACGCGGAAGCAACAGAAAAGCGTGAGATGTGCACAGGAATACACTAAAATCTCACTGGAATAAAACTGTCTCAGATGGAGCAGCCGCGTAGCAAATATCACTCCTCCAGCAGGAGTCAGTATAAATGTTATTAGAAAAGTGCTGTGCTAATGGTATTTACCCATAGGGAATCATATCCTACAACTGTCAGTTCTGCTAAGACCTCAACTGACATGGAATTATCACATAGAATCTCAGTGTTTGGAGAGGAGAGAGCCGCACTGACCCAAGCAGTGTCACCTCCTCCCTCACCCCTCAGCAAAGGCTGCACTCCGCAATCTGGAAGAAACGTATCACATCTGTTTGTGTTCTCCTTCGAATGGTTTCAGTAGAATTTCTTAAGTCATACAAAAAAGTAGAAACACCCCATGAATAAACAGTGATACCACGCGAGTCGAATATGCTGATACAATTGTAAAAATTATAGTAATACTTATACAACTCTTCCCAGGTTACAAGGGCATTAGAAACATGAACTGAGAAGTCCTCACACCCGTGCAGGGCAGTATTATTACCCTCATTTGACAGAGAGAAACTGAGGCAGGGACAGCAGCAGCCCGGGGGCTCAGCCTCTCTGTTGTGATTCTCTGGGAGCAGAAGGGCTGTAGTGCACGATGGTTCCTTGTTGTAAGGCTACTGATCACCAATTGCTGCTGGCATGGCCACTGGTTGATATGAAGTCATGTTTATGGAGTCAATTCTTATTCAACTCTTCCACTCAACTACTTTGGATTCAACTCTTATTCAACTCTTCCACTCAACTACTACATGTAAGTGTATGGAGCTGTATCTCAGCTGCTCTAGTACTACACTGCAGCTCAGTGCCTGCCTAGCACACAGCACTCACACCCTGTAGCTGCAAACAGATGGAACCTAAATGCACAATAATGCTCATGATGACAAGGACTCAAAGTCACCAAGAACTCAAAGTCACATTAAATGTTTCCGTCACATCCTTCATGGGGATGGCCTCGCTCCATTAGGAGGGAGAGTGGAATGCCTTTGCTATTGAGTATGAGGGAAAGAAAAGCAGTCCTAATGCCTTGGCTGACAAATGCTCTCTGTCTAGGAAGCCACATCTTGTGAGAAACATTTTATAAATAACACCTGCATTAAAAAACATGGGAAAGTACTTGCTGGACATTTAATGTTTTATGAGGAACAGCCACAAAGCGAGCAGCTCTGCTCAGAGGCTGGATCAGCTCCTTACTGCCAGTGAGAGCACCACGTCATTGCTCTGCCAGCAGCAACCACTTCCAGATGGACATCCCAGCACAGCTCCTCAGGAGAAACAACAGATTCAGGAACATCTCTTGGTTTTCTCTCCTGCCTCTTTCTAGGTTGGGGAGCTGCACCACGTGCTGTTTTCCTTGCTCCACAAACCCATGCTTTGCTCTATCTCCTCGTATTTTCCTTTTCTTAGAACCATACAATCATTTGAGTTGGAAGGGACCTTTAGAGGACAACTAGTCTCCTTTTCAGAAGCCTCCCTTTCACATTCCTACACCACTTGCTGCCTGCTCCTAGCAGATTTAAACACTGAGAGCTCCCTTATTTCCTCAACATCTGACCTCCACAATCTATTACCTTCTACAGCATGACACCGAGATATCCCCAAACTATGGCAGGCTACTAATAATCAGAAAGACAGAAATAGTCGTGAATGCTGCGTTAGTCCACATGCTTTATGGCGAACAACATACCATAATCTTCAGGTATATAATACACAAAGAGAAAAATGAATGCCCAGACTTGGCTGATGACATGTTTGCCACGGGATAGTTGAAAAATTGTACTCCTAAAATATGTTAAAATGGTTGAGGTCTTTTATTTAGGCAACAATCTGGGGAGCTGTTCGTTGGGGGATGCGCTGGGTCCATCCACCATGGGCTGAGCCCTCCGTGGGGATGCTCCAACCAAGGGCTGTGACCACGAAGGGAGCAGGGCTGCTCACACAACTGGAGTGCTGCAAATCCCAGACGCCAAAGGACGGCTTCGGAAGGCATACGTGGTGCAGGAGCGCCGCGCAGACGCTTCTGTTCACATCTGACCGTGCTTTGCTCACAAATTGTCCCAGGTGCCACGGGGTCACTCCTGCACATCATCGCCATCCAGTCTGCAGGACTGGATCTTTCTGGCAGAATCTTTGGCACAGGCTCGATGTTTTATTGTAATAAAAGATGATTAGAAAGTAGATTCCTGCCCCCCTCCCACCGCCACCCTCCGATTACATATTCTAGTATAAATGTAAGTCTTTCATGGCAAATATCTGACTTCTTGAGTATGTTCACATGCTGGAAAAACTGTATTCAGTCTGCATGCAGCAACAGAGACATCATGCTTCTGGCATCGTCATGCACATCTGACAGACAAAGAGTGCCTATGGCTGCTACCATTGACAAGGCAGAAGGGAAAAAAAGGAAAACGCACCGCCTACTATTTTACATGCTGTAACAAAACCAAAGTAAGCACAAAAATATTTACTGATATTTGAATTAAGATCTTCTGGTAAGTGGTTAAGAGGAAATATCAAAATTTGTATCTAAGTGAGATAGGAGAGGAGAAGATTGCATTAATTACAGTGTTCATCATTGCAAATAAAATCTATTTCCTTCCCTGTAAGTAATCAGCAGACATGAAATGAAAGCCTAATTGAAACTTGTATAAAACCTGCAGGTAGAGTTATTGTTTAAAAGTAGATCTACATTTAAAAAAACAGATGATACCCTAAGTCATTAGCAATATCCAAAAACTAGAAAAAAACAACCCAAAACAACAGCGAGAAAACATTTAGCTAAACCTAAATGATGTTGTTCAGAACAGGAACTTCCACAAATAAAGCACAATTTGTTTTATAAAACTTTTATAATACTCTGTATGCTTGATATGATTATGTCAATATAGAACTGCTTATTATTAACCCTTATTATTAAGAGTTATTACTAAACATGCAAAATTCATTGCATGAAGCATATGCAAAATGTATTAAATTCCATTCTATCCATAAAACAAGCTTTAAGTGCTTCTTTCAAGCTTGATTATTGTACAGCCCCAAGTTTTCTGAGTTAAAATTGATTACTGTAGGACTAATTCTCAATTAATTGTCACGAGTTGCTCTGGACAAATCAGGAAGTCAGCTGGGACTGCATTTTTGTTAATTTAGCATACACAATATTCCTTCAACTTACTGCCCTATACTGCAGACTACAAACACACGCACGTAAATAAGATGTAAGGGATTACAGTTCTGTTTTACATTCCAGGCTAACAAACTTCATAGTAAAACATTGTTAGTAGAACCAGTCAACAGTGAGCTTGAGGAGTGGTGTAAATGAAATCAACTGAACAAACAATGGCACCCTGGATCACAGAATAATCTCACGGAGATTAAAATTCACAAAAATATTATTAAAATTATTACTATTATTATTATTAAAGACAAAACTTCACCCTCGAGTTTATCACATGCTACTTAGCAAAGATCTAGAGATCTGGCCACTGCTGGAGACCGTTTAAATTCGGAGTTGCTTACAGGATCGGTTCACAAAGCTTTGGGCTCTAATTGGATTTCATTCCCCCCCACACACTCCCAACTCGTATTTATTTGCCAGGTTTTGGTAACAACTGCTTTCCACCACGTTCTGCAATGCCTCTCCTCCCCGGCGCTCTCCAGTCCCATGCTCTGCTCTCCCCATGGCGCCCATAGGAGCGGGGAGCACTGGTCCCCTGCAAGGACTGAGAACTGGAGGTGCTTCTCAGGTCGGGTCTTGGATTATTTGTAACAGCGGCGGAGTGAAAAACGGAGCAAAAAGACAGCAGGGAGCTACAAAACTATAGAATGTACCAAAAACAGGGAACTTCAGTGGAGACTTCTAGTAGGAGAAACGGGCACCGTACGCTAATTTATCTCCCATTAAGACGTTTCGGTTGCAAAGCCAAAATCCTCACTAAGTGGCCTTTCCCCCCCATCTCACACTTTTTAACCCTATAATTTTCAGGCCCAAATGGAACCAAGGCAAAAACCTAAAAATTTTAGGGTTAAGAACCGTTTCCTACTGCGGGATTTGTTCCCGTTCTGCTGTTTCATGCTACATTTTCTAGGAGGGGATGTACAAACTGGGGGTTGACATAGGAGAACCCTTCAAAATCGGATTGATCTATGTTAGCAATGACCAGCTGGTCCGGCGGGGTTAACACCGGCTGTCCTCGTGTGAAGAATTTATCGAAGTTTTCAGCACCTTTGCCACACTGCAAGAGAACAAAAAAAGAGAGAAAAAGGACTGAAAAGATCAGCAATACATCAGCAGGTCTGCAGATTTCTCAGGACGAATGCAAGTCTTGCAAGCAATTAAGATAACATTTTCTTTTCAGATATTTGAACCAAAACAATCCCAAGCAAATAGAGGAGCTTTTAATTGATGAGTTGTGGTGAAAAGCACCATGAGATGGCAAGTTAAAGGGGCTTAAATATAGAGACAGGTTTTACTAAAGGAAATACAGATGTAGCATTTGGGAAATTATGAACAGATCTGCATACACATACAGATCCATTTGCATGCATGTGAGTGTGTTTGTGTATAATCATTACTACAGAGTTATACCACGTTATAATGCAGCTGTCTATTATTAGATCAGGAACATGCTTGGTTCCAGAAGGTATTTATTCCAAATCACACTTCAGTCCCACTCAGTGAAGCAGAAATGAAACGAGGCCCTGCAAAGTACTGAAATCCTGGGCAGCCTCACAGGGAACAATGTGGGAACTGCAAGCACAACCAGAGAGCCCTCAAAAGTGTGGAGCAGAGACATGGAGACAAACCTGGCTCTCTTCAGACAGCAGTAAGCACAGAAAAGGAACTGAACTGCTTAGCAGCACCTGAATAACAGTGCACAGTGGATTAAAAGGTAGAAACGAGGACCCAACCGCCCTCACCAGTCTCCCCATCACAAGGCAGTCCATGTGATTCTGTATGTCTCAGCGCTGGATGCACACTGCAGAAATGTACAGGAACAGCAAGTATTTGATCCTTGCCTTCCAAACTTCCCCCTAGTTTGACCCCCAGAAGCAGTAATGACAATCAGCTCCATGAAATGAAATGGAAGATATTCTTCTTTCCAAGCATCTGCAGGAGGTAACAGACCAAACTAGCAGCAAACTGCTGCCTGCCTAGAAATGGAAGTGGGGCAGGGAGTGCACCCTGGGAACAGGCCCACGTTGCAAAATGTGCTATCACAGGTTTCTTTCCTTTTTTGTCCAAGAGAAGAGACTTGTGAAGCCTAACTGAGAAGCGTGGTTACATACAGCTCCACACTGAGTGCTCTTCATTCAGAACAGAAAACAAAAGAAATCAAGTTTGCTGAAAGGGGGAATTTGGAGTGGTGTGGAAACAATTGAAAGGCAGGAGAGTAAAATTAGCAGTGAAAAAGGGAGAAGTTGGAAGCAGAATAAAATGAGTTTGAGTGCAAGAAAGACTGCTCATCTGGGGATAAACAGACAGCAATTCTGCACGGAGGACCAAAGGCAACTCATAAATCTGTTTATTTCAAATCCAGCTACTATAAGAGCTCCTCAAAGAGTGGATGCGTGATACACAAGTGAATACTTCTTCCTGTTGTCCCTGACCCTTTCCTCCCTACCCTGAAGCAGAGCTGCACTATCATTTATTTTTGTTACTGAATATATCTACATTGGGATTTGGAGGATAACACTGCATTAAACCATTATCTTCTGACTTAGAAGGTAACTTTGAAAGGACAGAAGATCACTTGTACAATATGCCAATATAAAACATTGATTTTTCTGAACTAACTCAACATGAATATAGGTGCACATTTATAGGAGGAACAAACTGGAGGGGAGCCTTAAGGGAATTCAAGGGTGAGACATGTGGCTCATAACCTATCTTGAAAACAGCTCAGTTAGTTTCCTAATTGCTTACAACACACCTGGCACACAGACTTGGATATGCCAGCCAGTCTGAGCTACAGAGAACTTCTGCTGCCCCAGGCACAAGTTGTTTTATATCTCAGATGAGAAATACATGCTGAGATACTGGACCAGCGTGCTGACAACGGGCACTTGTTCAACCTTGGAAGAGTGAAGGCTAATGGCAGATTGCTTTTCTACTGAATATCCTGGCCTTTTGGTCCAGAGAGTGGACAAGAGCTGAACTTTTACAAGGGGAAAACTGCTTTTTTTTTTTTTTTTTTAAGACAGTGCAGCCAATTCAGAGCAGGGATGTTTTCACAGGAAAGACTTTTTTTTTTTCCTTTTTTTTTAAATAGATGTTTTATGGAGAAGTCTGATGCTTCTACATAATTATGCTCTATTTTCCCTTTTTCTCCAATAAACGGAATTTAAACGAGCTGTGTCTTGAAACCTTGACTGAGAATAAGAGATCACCAGAATTCTTACAAGCATGAGAAAATGTTTTTCCTGCCAAGCAATGACCCTACACCTAAGGGTTATGAATTGTCAGTCTAGAAAGGAACATGTTATTTAAACCAACCAACTGCTGACCCAAAATCTGCAGCTCCGTGTTGGAGTGAGAACTGTGCCTGTCTGCAAAAGCAGCAGGATTGCTCCTGCAGCAAAGTGCTTCCTAGGGAAGGTTATCTGAAAACAAAACAAAGCCAACAAATACGAACACATCTTAAAACAAATTAAGGTTTGCGTGTTTTGGAATCAATAGATTCCAATAGAATCAAATAGAATCAGCAATCACAATAAATGAGTTATACATAGGATATGTAAATATTAGACTTGGATTTTGAATGATTTTTGTCTGGGAAGATGATGTTTTCCATGTGAATGCTTGCCCAAATCTCCTTGGTATCTTTCAATAGCTGCCTGTATAAACAAAACAGGTCATGATAACCACAGGGAAAGATAACAGCTGCTCTGAACAGGATCCAGGATCCACCACGAAGTGTGCTCTGATGGAACCGGACTGTATTTCAGGATTTAGCATCTTCCTGCTGACGAGCACTCAGTTCCCAAGCCAATAAAGCTTACAGTTGTGGAGGTAGATTTGCTTTATGGTCAGCTTCAATTTTGACTCAAGAAGGACATAATGAAAACCTTACATAAAATGTTTGTGAAGAAGTGAAGCTCCCCCTCTGACAGACAGTTCTGGGAATGGTCTGACAGTGTCAGCAGTGCTGTGCATGGCTTTTTTGCTTATTTATACCTTTCCTTCCATGCAAAATCCACATCCTATGGAAAGGCTGATTTCCCCTAGCATAGAACACATCTTGGCATACAACTCATCTTCTGGTGAGAGGAAAAAGGCCTTTGTATGCAGTAAGAGAGGAATGTACCCTGCCTCTGTTCCCTAGTTAGTGGTGACCCACTAGCACGTCTGCAATGACAAACAGAGCACAGGGCAAAAATCCTATACCTGCCATGCTCTGTGCATCTCAGCAGAAGTGAAAACAGTGTTAGAGAGCAAAGATTCAACAGTAAGATGTAACAATTTACAGCTGCTCCTGAAGGAATTGCATCCGTTGGCCAGCACAGATCCCAGCCCAGGAGTGCAGACAGGTGCTGGGTGAACGCGGCCATCACCCCACTCACCACTTTGGGCTTGAAAGGTGGCTGGATCTCTCTGTTTTCCAGTTTCTCCCAGTCAATTCTCCTGAAGAAAGCGTGTTCCCTGATGTCTCTTTCACCTTCGAGGCCGCAGCCAAGGCGCTTTGCGGGATGTTTAGTCATTAGCTGCCAACAAGAAAACACCAAATGATTACACTGAGCACTGCAACTGGACGCGAGGCAGACTTTCCCCAGACTGCAATGTTCTCAAAGATGGAAGTTGCTAATAAAATTGCTGTGAAAAGTTAAAATTAATTTTTTGAGAATAGCTTCTGTTTGGTCACAGGAGACGGCAGCCTGCGGCCGAACGCAGAGCTGCGTGGGCCTCACCGCACCGCTCGCTCCCCAGTTCCATCTTTGGTCTTTTGGTTCAGCCTTATAAATCTCCAGAACAGCATCCACCCTACCTCAGCAATCAATTAAACTCAATAAATCCCAGTTTGCTGGAGCTGTAGGAAGCACAGCCCCCCCTTCATTGCTCTGGGCCTGCTGAAGATGCCTCGCTACGGAGCCTGCAGCTCCTTGGCACCCAGCTGACAGCATCTCATCCGCGCTTCCTCCCGTGCATCCTTAACGACATCTTCGTCAACACTGCACCCAGTTGTAGAGATCAAGACTTGAGGAAAAAAAAACAACACCAGCACTGCATGCTTGGAAACACTGATGTGCTTTGTAATTAACAAGCTCATAAAAAATCTTGTTTGTCAATTAGGCATCGAGCAATGCAGCCTTCAGCTCTCAGTTCCAGTATTGCAGGGACTTTTAAAAGCTCTTCTACAATTAGATGTGATTGATACACTGCTAGCAGCAATACCACAACGCATCTTTTTAAAACCTCAGCTGTACCACTTTACTTTTCCTCCAAATGTTCACTTGATCATATTCCAATTCAGAACCTAAAATAACAGAGATGTAAAGCAAATTTCAGGAAGCCAGCAAAGCTTGGGGCTGGGATGGATCACATCATTCTTCATGCTTAAGAGCAACTTTGCCTCTTCTTTAAAGCTTTTTGAACCCCCTTGCTTGAACAGTGGGAGAAATAAGAAAAATGAGAATCTAGCAGTCATAATTCTGTCCCAAAGTTACTATGACCACCAAACCCAACACACTCAGAATCCATTAAAAGCTGTCAAGCAGACAATTCCCTTTCAGGTCACAGTGGGCAGCACCACCGTGCCTGGCTGTGTGGTCATTTTAGTTTTCTGAACTCCCTTTGCATAAGCAGCCAGTGCAATGGACAGCAAGCAGGAGAGCTGAGAACAAGGTAACTAGAGCAGGTTCACACTGTGTTGTGTGAACGTACAATTTTCACAACAAGGCATAAATCTTTACAGAAATATAACATTTAGTTTTTGTTAGCCACAAGCAGCATGTCTATACTGGGTATGTTCTAAAATTAGAGTGGTCCTTCCTTTTACTTCATTGTTCTAAACAGCTTTTCTTTTTCTTGATGATTTTTCCTTACAGGATTAATATCCAAGCTATGGGCAATACTTCTTACTTGCTTGCAAAGGAAAGGAAAGAAGGCATTACCAAATCAACTGACATGATGCAAAGTGAGGTAAGACATCAAAGTAAGGCTTTATAGAGGATGGTTTGGAAAAGCTGTGGAATGATGGTACTCTGGGGAATTGCATGGAGTCAAGAGAAAGTCAACCAAACTCTATTTTTCTGAGCTAATCCCTTCAAATCAAATTTATTATTTTCCATGAAAAAAAATTAGATTAACTCTCAATCTAAGATAAACTTTTGCTCATGCAGTTTGCAACTGGGTCAAGATTTCCCCACAGTTCCCATGCATTTATGCTACAGAATTTCACATAGGCTCATCTTTATTCACGTTGAAAAATGATCCTCATTAACTCCTCTGTTCTGCTGCTGTGATTAGGGCTGAGGACCACAGCAGTATCCATCTAAACTGGGAAACCTCCCCACCTTGCCAACATGGGCTGGCACAGCCAAGGGCTGAGGCAAGGCAGGTGGAGATGTTTCACACCATCCTCCTGCTTGGATCCTCCTTTGGATTTGGCAGCTACTGCCTCTGATATTTGTTCTTACTATAAAATAAGCAGACACAGCAGGAGGAGCTGTCAGTGACACCGAGCGACAAGCACTTTATGACAATATCACTTAACACAGCCTGACAGAAATTACACTTAAAATACTAAGCACCATATCAAAGCCAGACAAAGTTATTCACAAGGATTGCCAATAAGAAGCTTAGTAATAAAGAAACGTCTATCTTACCCCCTTGCAGATGGAGACAGCTTCTTTGGACAGTGATTTTGGATAGGAAACATTATGTTCCATTATGGACTGGAAAAGTTCATCTTCGTCTTCTCCATCAAATGGAGGCTGTTAAAATAAATGCTGTTAATTCTCCACTTTTTATGAGGTGGTATAGCAATACTGCAGCCATAGTGGTTCAGGTGAAAGATGCATCCATGCTGCCTCCAGACAATCACAGATGTCCAAAGGCATCAGTGGAAGCAAAGGTTCCTGCTCAGGAATACACAACAAGCATCTAGCCACTTGCAATCTGGGGACCTGCTGACCCAGAAGCTTAGTGTTTAGCAGTCTCAGTCAGAAATTGATGACAAAAATTCATTTCTGCTCCCAGCATGGCAGAAAGTTAATGAAAGGTTTGCTGGAGTACCTTCAGTGATTCCATCTTTGTGATAATCTTTCATTAGCTTTTAAAACTACTGTATACTGGACACCCAAAAGTACTTCAAAGGGTAAAGTTTGGAAACTGTAACTTTCAGTTACCTTCTATTAAGGCATATCTACCCCTCACTTCATTCTAGATAAATCCCAGTTTGTTTTTATAAGATGTGGCTGTAGACTCTGCTTCTGTGAAGGTGGGACTGCATCACAATATAGGGTTGCATTTTAGTTTCAAATACAGGTGAAGAGGGAAGTGCCCCTGGCTGAGTCCCTGGGGTACAGACACTGTAAAGACTCAGCTAGCAGTAAATCTCATTTTCTCAAAAGCACTCAGCTGCCTAATGTTAGCACTGTACACTGTAAATGTTAACAACTGCCACTGCAACCCTTTAAAAACTTTTAAAATGTCAAGAGGGATTTAGTAAAGAAACTATTCAACCCATTTGTTAAAAATGTATGTTTTAAGTTTAAGAAATTCATACCTCTAGCTAACACTCATTGAAAGCTGCTTGCACAAATCTTATCCAACTCAAGACCAATAGAGCTCTTTAAGTTGGTAGTTATATGCAATTTACTGTAGAACAGCATTGCTTTTCTACTTCAGTGACTCAGAGAGCAGCCTCTCATTAACTGTGCAGAATAAGGGGTCTGTAACTAAGCTTATTTAGAGCAGCGAGACCCATACTTTACCCCTAGGACACAGAATACAAAAACTGTATTCTTGTGACTTAACTGCAATGCACAGCATAGACAAAATCTCCCCGTGGTTTCAAACTACTAAGTGGTGTTTCTTCCATTTGACGTGCATTTTCCTACTCAAGTGTCTCTCTCCCATTCAGTTTTGAACATGGCTATTTATAACATCATTACAGTACAAAGAAACCATATTCAAAGGCAGTGCTTTATTATGGGAGTGAAATACAAAGGGCTTAAAGACTACTTTCTCAGTGAGTCGGAAACAGTCAAGAGTACATGGAGATAATAGTAGTATGAAAGGCCCCACACTTGTCCCTTAAGGGTCTGGCCCTTCAGCAAGTTTTGAAAGTGAGCAGCATTGGAGCCACCAAGAGGTAACCCTTACCTGGCCAGCTAACATCTCGTAGAGCAGCACTCCATATGCCCACCAATCCACAGACTTCCCATAGGGCTGGTAAGCAATGATCTGTAAAATCACGTAAAAACAAAGTCCTATGTTAACTAACTTCTAGTCCTGTGATGTTAGATAAATAGTGCCACAGAGACAAACAGAGGTCTTTGCAAAGTCCCAGAAAGCCAATACTGAATCCTCGCTCCAGATAGTAACTGGTTTCAATGGGAGTTGGCCAGCTTTGCAAATGCTAGCTAAACCCACCTGTGTGTGTGGACATTCTGGTACCTTGGGGAAGTCAGCTCTAGGAAATCCTGAGATGTGCATTTGATAAACAATGTGAGTAGAGTAGCACAATGTAAGAGACAAGGCAAAAAATTTATCCATTTCTTTGAGTCAAGGCTTCAGATCACGAGACTCACTAAATTACAGATTATCAATAACTAAGCCTTTTTTTCAATGTTTATGATTTCTTTTTTACACTCCAAATAAAAAACAAAGTTCAAGAGCGAAACCTTGAAAAGCTCAGTTACGTTATTCCAAGTTGCATGACTAAAATGCTTGTAGTATGAAACCAGGTACCAGTCACACCAAAAGGGCAGGAGCCTCTGCTGCTCAGCCTAATCGAAACACCAAGTGTTTTGTGTCTTTACACACAGAAAATCTTAAAACATTTCATCCTCAACCTTTTTCCCACAACCTCTCGTCTTATGGAACAGCAAGGTGTGTTGTGAAAAAATAAAGGACAGTTTTTCAGAAAGTCATTAGATTGAAAGGGCAAAACATTCCGTAAGAGGTTTTGATAGGAACATCTTATCTAAATTTGCAAATGAGAAAAAGATAGATCCATAGCCCTGAGAGGAGAAATCCCTCTAGACAGCCAAGCTTTCATCCTGGTCATCACTCTGTCCAGCTAGTCACGATCTGCTTCTTGTAACATCAAAGAGTTTGATGGGAGTACTGACAAGAGGCATTATTTTTAAACAGCTAATGACATAAAATGAAAGACATAACAAAGCACATAACTAATGGTGTTGTCTGTTTAACCAGCAAGAAGCAAGTCAAGATTGGGTTGTTCTCTAAATAGCATTCTCATCAGCAAATGCAATCTGCCCCAATTAAATTTGCCTTTGTAAGAGAATATCAAACAGAATCATCAGGAGAGACAGAACTGACATGAATAAAACCTCCTACAGTTAACCTAACATATGGTCAGCGTCATGAGAGCACTGAAATTCCTGTCCTATGTCATTGGCTGAAATATTTATTTGATGCTACATGTTGGCGTCAACAGAAGCTCATGACGAGCGGAGCAGTGGCCCTGCTGAGCTGGCATCCATCTCTCATGCAGAACTGGTTGCGTGATGAGAGTGGGCTGCTGAGTAAGAGACACAGACACTGAGTTCAACTGGGACTGGAAATGCACCACTTCAGAAAAATTCCCTGCAGGCATTCAAAGCCAGGCTGGATGTGGCTCTGGGCAGCCTGGTCTGGCAGTTGGCGACCCTGCACATAGCAGGGGTGTTGAAACTAGATGAACATTGTGGTCCTTTTCAACCTAGGCCATTCTGTGATTCTATGAAGTTCCACTGCAAATGCAATAGAACAGCTTTTTCATTGCATCTACTGCAAGGTAGGACCAGTAACATTTTACTGGCAATGTCTGTCGATGTGCATAACACTGTAAGGTGTTTTCCTTTGATCCTAATTAAATATACTCATTTGAATCACCTGCCGAATGCTGGTAAGGATGTGATGCAAGTGAAACATGGGAAAGCAATCTGCCACGTTCATTGCCAACCTGTGTGTCATGCATGGAAACCAACAGTTATACCCACACACAACACTGGCAGTTACTCCAAGCATTAATTGGAAAATGTAAAGAAGAGGAAAGAATGCTCATTTTGAGGAAGGGATTACACGTGGGAGGAAGCAGATGAGTTTTCAATATACAGTCCAACATGCATCGGTACAAATCAGGAGTTCTACATGTGTTTTCTGCAGCTCCCTCCTCCTCACCCAGCAATCACCAGGCATTACCTTCCAGCTGCACCCAGAGCCAGCGCTGCCTGCTGCCAACAGAATCCTATCTGCATGCATGAATTTGGGGATCTTTCAGGATAAATACGGGTATATAAACAAAGAGGGGCATACCACTAAATAGTGCAGTGTGCAGAGCAGACAGAGAGCAGTGAGAGCTATCAAGGGACTATAAGTGAAGACCCACACCCTTCTGCTACAATCTCTGCTTTCGACAGGCCTGGAAGGAGCAGAAGATCGATAGGATCCTTCCCCTTCTTTTCCATCACTGATTTAAATGATTGCCTTTTGGCATTTCAGATCTCCCATTTTTCCTACCTACCATTGTGTGTGAAAGCCCTGCCTTTTCAGGCAGAGGATTTGAGAACTCAGGAAGAATTTCTCTCATCAACCCAAACTGGCAGAGGAATGTTGACTGCTTTTTTCCTTTCTTTCTTCTTTTATTTTGCCTCCAAGGAAGGCACAGTGAAGAGCAGGACGTGGAGATTAATACCAGCAATCTGTAGGAATGTTTAGATCACTGCAGCTTGCAGCTGGTAGCCAAATGGGATGAAACGATTATATCCCAGAGGCAAGAGAGAGAATCTTCTGTGAACATATCTTATGTCTACTGGAAAAGTTAAACCACAGTTATTAAAAGAAATAAATATAACTAGCACAAAAAACTTTCCAAACCTATGTCATTCCTATTGCCCTCCCTTAATCCTCGAAAATGTGTGGTTAGAACTTAAGGTTTGAGGTTATTAAATGGAAGAGAATAAGAGAGGATTTTTTTTTAATCTGAATTCTTCTGAAATTCCAAACCAGTGCTGTAGGTGCTGCAGGGATGCTCGTGGTGGATCAGCCCTGTGCTGCAGGCAGCAGTGGTGCTGCCAGAATCCCTTCCCACTAATCTCTTGACATCCATCTCCTTCAGTCTCTCTTGACTCACCAAGGGAATATAAAGTATTAATCGATTTCAAGGCTGTTATACTGCCCTGACCATACATATTTATATGCTTAAGTTCAGCATGTCAATAAATACTCTGTGCTAGAGAACCACTGAATGTCCAACAGATGTGGGATTCAACAACTCTAACCTCTTCTCTCTTCTTAATTTGCATATGATTGAAAAAAGGAATATTAATATCAGTGGATATCAGTGTATCGAGTCATAAATGCTAACTTCCCCAAACACACAAAAGGAAAGCATTATTCTATGGTGCACCAAAGCTTGCAGGTCCACTTTTCTGAATGCAATACCAGCATTGTCCCTCTGTTGCCCCTGCAGATCTCTGCACCCCAGCCATGGTATTCTTCCCCAGCGTTGACCAAAGGAGCCAATTCTCTATTTTTGATTGCCACACACTCACTTCAGATGGTTTATGTAGATTTAGCTCATCTATCTCCATGCAACAGGGAACAGCAACATGCACATTATGCTCATTATGACCTATCATAGGTTTTAGCCCATGGGTATGTGCTAAAATGCTCCTGCAGACAAAACGTGAACCTTACTCTGAAGTTTATCACAGACCTACTTAGCAACATAATGTCTTCAGAAACTAATGAAAATCATACAACTAACAAAAATATAAGATCTGTTTGTAAGATAATAGGAAGACTAATTTCCTTCAAGTTTTGGTAAAAGGGTTATTGCTGTACAGGAGATTTCCCAGCAAATTAAAATAAACCTAATAAACCTACATTGACTTGTAGTGAGCACTTTGGCACTGATAGCATGTTCTTTGGTATCAAATGACACAAGCCTATTGTCTCACAGAGGACACTTTTTAATGTGTTATATTGGCTTCATTTATGTTTTGACAGAAGAAAATGAAATACTGCTCTGGCTGTTCTGTTATCCTATTGCAAGCAACAGCAATTTGTGAAAAAAACAAGCTTTTATAATACACAATATTTCATTCTGAAGAGCATGAATGGGGAGGTTGGAGATTCATGATCCATAGGTCCCTTCCAACCCTGGCCATTCTGTGATTCTGTGAATTAGCAACTGGAAAAATAAACTATTTTTCATTCTACTTTCACAGAGATGGCAAAATTCACCTTTAACACTATTTGCTTGTCCGTGTACAAATCTCCTCCGCTCCAACAAACACTCAATTACAGCCAGCAATGTTCCAGCCAGCACTGCCTCTTGCTTAACACTCAGCATATCTTGGATCCTGCATCTTGCACTGAACTTGCAGCCAAACAAATCAAGACTCTTGAAAGCTCAGCAAGCACAAACACCAGATTTTAATATTCATATAGTTGAATCATTTCCAAACTACCACATGTGCTTGTTTTTCATGTTTTGTACCTAAGGTACTGAAATATAAATCTGATCCAGACTAAAAATCTTAATGGTAAGGTCCTATTTCTTTATCACAGTGCTTCAAAACGTGACTGTGTTTCTAAGCATCCCATTCCCACTTTAGACACACTGCAGTTAGGTTTGTCTTTGAATGTGATTTTCAGTACTTCAATGGCTTGAATGCAACAGAGGTATTGGTAAGTCACAGAAAACCCCAGCCAAATGATGGATTTATTATGTCAGCTCCATTCAAGCCCTGATCTTACAGCTTAGTTGAGGTTTTCAATGAGCAGAACTTTCCTGAGATCAAACGCACTGCCTCGGGGCTTTGGTAAGTCATGGCCTGGAGCCGACCAAAGCAGCTTTGTAGGGAGGTCAAGGAAAAACTTCAAGATTTCACGAGTCTCTTCCTGAAAATCAATGAGATTTGTGACCTCCTAAAAATGCTGAACAATCTTTTCACTACCTGTATTTTGACAGCTGTGTGAACCTATAAAAACATTAAAGGAACTATGTTTGCTCACAGCAAAATGTTTGCTGACCTCATCGGCTACGCCCACAAACTTTTTCTGACTTTACACCAAAGCGCAAGGAAGTATAGTAACACTTGCAGTCTACAAATTAAATAATCACAAGGGGGTGAGTCTGCTCATTTAGTCTTGCTAGTATGAACAACATTTGAAATACTGATTCTGTACCAAGTTAGGTTTTCCATCAACTACATTTTAAAATAGCAAAGTCTTAGAGATATCCTCGTGTTAACTCATAGAGGTATTCAACATACCTGCAGAAATACAAACAGTACCATCCATAGAGCATCCAGAGCTACAGCCATCAACACGTGGTGCTGTGAAATGCCTGTACTGACAACTGCCAATGGAGAGGATGTCAGACTCTTGAAATGGTGAATATTTACCTCTGGTGCAATGTAGTCTGGGGTGCCACAGAAGGTCCTGGTTGTTACTCCATCGAACATATGTTCTTTGCACATTCCAAAGTCAGCAATTTTAATGTGTCCTTCTGAATCCAACATCACATTATCCAATTTCAGATCTCTATAAAGAAGTAATTCAATGTTAACGTTTAGGATCATTTTCCTTTACATATTCAAGGTTTCAGATGAGTTGGGTAGGGTGCAGAAAAGCTGACATAAAGCTGAGGGATTGGTCTGCAGTGCAACAACACCAGAATGACACTTCTGTGATTATTTCTAAAAATTCCTTAAAAATTCACTGATAAGTCAAAGAAATTGACCATTTTGGGGTTTGAAAATAGCACAGAAATTACTTACAACACATTGTACTCACCTATAAACAATCCCTCTATTATGGAGAAAGAATAACCCAACTGAGATCTCAGCTGCATAGAACCTGTGTGAAGAGAAAAAGCCCAAGGATTTCTTATTACCTCGTGATTTGCCTCCAACAAAATATTTTGCACATGCATCACAGTAAAAAGTGATGACAGTAAAGTATAAAAACATCCATTATAGGTAGAAGACATAACAGGCACCTTCCTTCCAATCGACTTTAACAGATAAATTTAACTTTGATGTCAAAAATTTGATGACAAAATAGGGCAGCTTTTTGTTTTTTAATTGAAAATTTGTTTCTAGACCAGAGAGAAGAAGGTGCAGCTGGAGCACAGCACTCCTGCTGCACCAATCAGACGTAGGTCATTATCTCTAATCACACACCAATGCCGAGTTCAGGATGCAGCTCAATTTACACTGCAATTCATATGGCATTAAATCATTTGCAGAAATAGCATTCCTTTATACAGGCTCTTAATGGATTAATTACGTAATTAAAATGACTGCAATATGAAATATAATTGTTGAATGTAGTAAAAGAATATATAATATTGATGGATGTTTGATGCCAGTTGCTGCGGATCTGCATAAATTATAGGGAAGAAGATAAGGACTATTTTTTAGGCTTAAAGCTTAAAGAAAATGAAAGGTTAGCTCTGAAACCAGAGCTGTTTGCAGACATGTGTGCTGCAATATGCTCCACAGGCACAAGTTGTCATAAAGCAGTATCGTTTCCAACAGGTGGTGGACATGGTACATGAGCTGGGAGCCAAGGATGTTCTGACACCATCGTGCTCTTCTTTAGGGAGTTGCTGACATTTTGTTTTATATCTCAAAATTTATATCTAGAAGGCCTTTCCTTTAAGCAAGCCCTGATTACTTAAATCAAAATAAGAAATTATTTCCGTGGGTTTCTTAAACCGAATTGGTTACGCTTGATTTGAAAGTTTCATTGGTAAATGATTCATGAAACACTAATAAATGATGATGAGATGTTATAAACATGACTAAAATGGCACTGATGTTCTGCCTGCTCACATTTAAATATGCTACATATCATTATCAGTTACTCACTGATACACCAGATGTACAATGACCCGAAAGGGACTATGTACATAAACAACTTCTCATCATTTCCTGACTTCTCACAGATAAAATTTCTATAAAATGTAGCATCGTAGAACTTCTCATAAGCTGCACACTGAAATATCTTGTGTAAACTACAATGCAATGTATCTTTCCCTACAATACTAATTCAGACTTAAAGCATAGGCTGATAGAGAAATTTAACTCTGTTACAGTATAAAAATAAGGTCATTATGTGATTTAAATATACAAACATGGACACTCACACTGCTTGTGGCTCCTTAAATTTCCCTACTTGCTGAATGTGGTACATGAGATCCCCACCATTCACATACTCCATAACAAAATACAGGCGGTCCTAGGATAAAGTATTAAACATGCACATGAACACGTCAGACAATAACAGATAAGCACTGATCAGGAATAAAGCTTTCAAGGTTATTAGGACTGGTTGTACATTCTGGTAAAATTGATACATTAGGAAATGGAAGTGGGATGTTTTGTAAAACCTGCAAGAGTCAATGACTGATGGGAGCTGCCTAGTTTTGCCAATGGTGACTCACATTTATGTATTCGTTGCTTACACTGTTCCCATAATTACTCACACATAGTTTTGTCTGCTAAAAATAAATGGCAAAAAAAGCATTAAAGACAGTTAAAAATCTTTGTCTTCAGCCTATTTCTGATCCCTCCTAATAGATTTAGGTATATATATACTACTGATGATTAAAAATAGGCAAGAAAAGAAGTCACAGGGTTTACAAAACTATCTTGAATCTTCACCAGTGATACTAAATTCCTTTCTCACTTTACTTCAGCTAGAGAAAGACTGCAATAAAGTATTTTGGAGGATGATTTTCTTGCAAAGTAAAAAATTTTAAAGCTCGTATCCAGGTATCTTAAGTGAAACATGACCACAACAAATCTGAGTACTTATGTAGTATTTTCCCACTTAGTGACCTTAAGTGAGACTTAAGCAATATTGGTCTGTCCACCATTTTTCAGAGGACTAAAATTGACCTCTTCCAAGTGCCTTTGGTAAGAACATGTTGATCACACTCTACAAGCATGCACTCAGGTTGGATGAGTTTGGGTAACCGCATGGGATATCTTATCATTCACTGTTTCCTGTGTGCAGAAGCTATGATATATATGTTGGATGATAACACAGGTTATTGATCTGACATAATTACGAAAAACATCACTGCTACAAGGAAGAGAGCTCACGTACAACTGTTTGGAAACAAGAATGAAGCTGTGTTAGGAATGGTGGTTTATCCTGCAGTGCTAGCACTCGTTTTTCAACCATTGTACACTCAACATCATCATCCTGAATCACCACATCTTTTTTCAGTATTTTGATTGCATAGAGCTCCTCTGTATTCTTCCTGTCCGCCAACATCACCTGCACAAAAAGAAACAGGAGTGAAAATCTTCCTACCTGCCAATGGAGAAGGTGACTCACATGCTCAGTGAGCTGTATAGTGGCAATCCAGCTTGCCCTTTCATTGGTACAGACCAACTTGATCAAAGCACCAAAAATAACATAATTACTCACCCACTGCAATGAGCTGTATCAGTCATTTCAGACAAAACCTGAGCCAAAACCCCAATGTGAATTGCAGACAGGGCTGAGAAGATGCTCAGTCCCAGGGGACTTCAGTAAAGGGCACATCACCATACAGAAGGGTGTTAAACTAGCCAGAAAAATAGCAGTCCTTTCTTTCCACTAACACATTTCAAATATAAATACTATCTGTGATTCTTCCCAGGTATTCAGCCCTACCAAAGCTGGTGACTTCCAGAAGTGGCAGTTACCTAGGGAGCAAAGTCAGAAAGGTAGACCTGATCTCCTCGAAACTGCTTAGAAGTGAGGATTTTACAGTTATTTTCTTACACCCTGCCCAAAAGTGTGAGGCTGTTCTCAATCTGTTTTTGGAAAAAAAATGCCCAATCATGACTGAAGCCTGCCAGTCCTTAAGGAACTGCCCCACTCTGCTCCTTCTGAAGTGCACTTCTTTTTGACTCCGGATTTTGCCTCTTAGAAGGAGAATGATTTATTTACTGTTCCTCAAGAATAAAAAAATGGAGTGAACTGTTATTAACAATTCTTACCTTTCCAAAGCTTCCTTTTCCAAGAACCATAAGGAAGTTGAAATCTGTCAGCTTCACCCTGTCCAGATTGTTGGATGGCACAGTTGAACTCCTGTCTTCCGACGGAGTAATGACTTTGTTACCAGCTGGCCCAAGTTTGGCTTTCTAAAGGACATACACACACATATATACACAAAAACGGGGAAGTGAGAAGAGCAGCCCATTTCCTCAGCAGAGTGGGTCACTGGGTGAGCACTAGGTTGGAGATGACCACATTGGAGATGGCATTCTTGGGAGAAAGGCTGCATAACAAAATCTGTGCAGACACGAGTTCAAAGATTCATTCCAACAATACTTTTCACATTACTGAGAGAATTAAAGTGGAAATATGTGTTCATGTATAACCAGATAAAAGCAGATAAACTTATCTGGTTATTGAAGCAAAACCAAAGCAAAATTGAAAGCCAAAGAAAAGAAGTCACATATATTCATGCCAAAAGCAGGCTTCTCTGGTGCTTTTGTTTCAAAATACAAAAAACGTTCTTCAAAAATACCATGCTATCATCTATATAGAGTACTCTAGATAAAAACAGTCTTTTCAACACATTCTCTTTTGAAATGTAGTTCTCAAAGACACTCTGCATAGCAAGAGTTAATAAATATTTAACATGCATCAAGAAAAATAACCTGCATCAAAAAAACAACATATGAGGATTAATGCAGATGAACATGGCCACTTTCAAACTAGCATTACAATCAACTTTGATTTTCAATCAAGCGTTGATCTGGAAAAGGGAGGAAGGGAAATATTACATACAAAGGTTCTGTCTTGGCTAGACAGTCTGGTTTGTAGAAGGTTGCAATGGTCTCAGTATTTTCACATGAGACACCACATAATTGCTGAAGTAAGTTTCATTTCAAATCTCAAAGTTAACAAAAGAGAAAAAAGCAAGATTCACCACAAGATAATATAGGCTACAACAGAATATCCCTCTTGTTCTCAAACTTATCCCACACACCAGCAGAAGCAAAGCCAAGAAGGTTTAATAATAGATAACTTTGGAATGTAAATGCTTTCCCCCAAGTAGCTAGTGAGTTGGCATAGTAAATAATCTCTAATGTGGTTAATTTATTTTATGCCATTGGCATATGCTCAACATCTAAGAATAATTACTTCTGTTACTATACCACAAAAGGACAGTACTTGCATATTATTGCTTTTACAGATAAAAAACCCAAATTCTGGTAATCAAAGTGCATTCAGAGTCACACAGTAAGTCTTGGGCTTAAAGGCCTTAAAGGCTTGGCCTGGCGTATGACCTTGGCAGCTCAACTGGAAACTGGAACCAACATTCCCCTCCCCAGACATGTTTAGATGTCTGAAACGGGAAGGGATGCCTTGATTTGGCCACCAGCCCCTGCTGCCATGAGCATGACAAGGGGCCCTCCTGTAAACCAACCACACTGTGCTTATGAGGCCATAATCAGGTTTATAACTGCAGAAAATCTTGCATCTGCCACATGGATACGAATTTTGGCATTTTTGGTATTTTTTTGTGTGTGTTTTGTTTGTAGTTTGTTTGTGAAAATACGGAATTCATTCCACCACTGTGATGGCTTACTTGTAAGAAAGCAGCCCCTGGAGATGCCAAACAGGACCAGGGGCTGAAAAAGCCTTTAGCAAGGGCAAGTCTTGGGCACCAGCCTACGTTTCCAATCCTACAAAGCACTGCCCAATGGCAGCTCCTGCTGCTGGTGGAATCCAGTGGTACCATGGAGTACGGCCACTAACTGGGCCTTAAGACTTGTACAAGACTCACCAAACCCCCAAATTTGTGTATACCTTAACGTGTGGGGGTGTTGTTTCTACATGTAAGAAACAGTTTATGTATTTCAGATAGGGAACTACAAACCAAAACTGTTCTTAGAATAGAGTGACGGTGAGGAGCACAGTGTGTTGTAACTTGCATAAGCGAGATGTCAAACCACACACCATTTCTTTCACCACTACCTCTGCATCCAGGATTGCTCATGATGAATAGCTTTACTACTAATTAGAAGGGAAGAAAATCTGTTTGAGACTTATGCTCTGTCAAGGCCAATTCAAGCACTGAAAGAAGGATAGATATTGGATAGAAGTATTTTCTAGAGCTCCACCGAATGCTGTTTCAACAACACTGACCACAGAGGAATAAAGAGACCGATGGCCTTTTTGCATAGGTAAAGTGTGCATAAGGAGAGCGATTAGTGGCAGGGAGCTCTGGACACACAGCTGAGAGCAGGGCGTTGAGACCCGAGACACACACAGACCATGGCACCCAGGTGAGACCGCTGATCTTGTTTCCTACAGCTGACGCTGTGAAATGATGTCCAGATCTTTCTGGATCTTGGACAGATGCACTGTTTCCTCTTCCGGCTCTGCTGGAACAGCCCAACACATGTATATTCTCAGATGTTTACCTAAAGTCAGTGTCTTGAACTGAAACAGGTTTTCTTGTGGTTGCATATGGCTAGAATAAAGGGAATGGTATGGAAAACAGATGGAAGAGGTACATCTGAAAGGAGAAGAGCTAACCAGAATCACAGCCTTCTGGTTGCTTTCTTAGAGGAAAATATATTTCATATGGAGCCATTCTAATAAAGTTATTTAAATGCTCCACGTTGTTTTGGGACTTCCTCATTTTTAGAGCATTACAAACATCACCATTCAAGCCACCATATGGACTACATACATTAGGGGATTTTACAATAGTGGGTGCTTGCTTAAATTTGTCCACAACCCCCTCTCAGTACGCTATAAACTGGTTTTGTCTGTGTAAAAAGTACAACATTGCAAAACAAGGCCAGCTTGCAGCAAACAAACCCAGAAAACAGTACGGTAAAGATGAATTAGTCTGCACTGGTAGCAGAAGGGTTAATCTTAAAAGAAAACGAGACATGCACATCATCTTACTTCCTCCGGCTCGGACGCACCTTATCTCGGCCCGTTCTTTTACCCTGAAACCACAGGTGAGACACACTTTATGCATTTAGCCCAAATGCAGTTCTTTATGAAGTGTTGTTGAAGTTACAGTGTGATACTTTGGAGAATCTCTTAGATGTATTTCAGAGAACATCTCACTTTCACAGTTAAAAAATGCTTGCTGTTTTTGGCTTTCTAAATCCTAAGTGTAAAAACTGTTCATGGGTTTGTCATACGAACATGTTCTTCTGTAATCTAATGAGTGTGAAGCAAAGAAGTGGTTTTGGGGGCAGCAATACATCACCACCCCTTCCTTTCAGCCACAGCTGAGTTTGCAGTCCTGGTTCCAACCCTCCAGGTCACCCCTCATGCACCATTTTAGAAGGGAAAACCCTGCATCATTTCCCTTGGCATGACCTGGAAGCAACACAAGGCCTGGTGGCATGCAGGCCACTGAGGATGTGTTTCCTTGTTGCCATGGCAACCTGCTTCCAGCAGTCCCTGGATGTGCAATGGGAAGACGGACTGGGGGTAAATTCAAGAGGAGAAAGTGGTAAATGAAAAATAATAACAAGACTGAATTTTAACAACAGTGCTGACTATTGCACATGGGGAGGTATGAATGCATCCTGGGCATGCATCTTCTCCCCACGTTCCCTCTGCTGTTCACTGGTTCCACTGACACCTACTGGGAAAAGAAATGGAGCTCCCACGCACTGCTGAGAATGGGAAGTGGGAGATCCAGCAGCAGGGAGCAGCACTGCCTTCAGTCCCCTGCAAAAATCCTGCAGCTGTGACGGTCAGCAATGCTGCCAGGCTGCATCTGGGGTCCCAACTCTTAATACTGGTTGTATCCTCTTGCCAGAATTAAATCCCGTTGTTAAACTAATGAGATCTCTGCCTCAAAATGCAGCAAGGTTCCACCAGACCCAAAAACTCCTCAAATGTCTCTGTGTCCCATATCAGCCTTGCCCCCAGCTTTTCCCTTCCTAATTCTGCAGGTAACTCAATGGCATCACAGAACTGCAGGTAACCACATCCCCTCCCAAAGTGGCACAGTGTGGTGAGAAGCAGGCAGGGAGAGGCAGAACTCACACTGCAGGTGTGGAAAAGGGAAGCTGAAGTAGTTCCCCAGTGACCCACGGAAGGACAGAGCCCTGCTGGACTTCCCAGTCCGAACACCTAACAGGCAGAGCCATTAGCAAGCCTTTAATGAAGAAAACACATGCAGTAAATTTTGAATAACAATCTGCAGGGAAAAAACCTCCTCCTCAGCGACACATTTTCAATCACTGTGGCAGATTGTTTCTTACATTATTGCATTTCCAATTCCATGTAATTGTAGATGTTGTGAAGGACTATCCATTTCCTCGTGTATACGACTTAATTGTCAGGATGCTGATAACTCAAAATGAGGAGAGTTCATTTCTAATACTTCACCAGACTGTGTTTTAAGCTTAATTCCATAATGTAATGCAAGCTTATAATTCATTAGCAGAGAGCTTTGTAGCCATGGAAACAACACAGAGAGGAGAAGTTCCAGCCCAGGCCTGGGTGATGCAGCAGCCCAGCAGCTCCCACCAGCGAGGGATGAAGAAAATGAAGGAAAATGCTAAAATAGTTAATGAATAAAGAAAAGAAAGAAAAATCATGATATTCCCATTGTTAGTAAGAAAGCACAAAGGCAAACAGAATGGTCATGAATATATAAATGGAGAGGGTGATAACTCTTGAGCACTAAATATGGACTGCTCCACATCTTTGGTTTGCTTTTCCCCTCACCTCTTCTTCCTCTTACATTTGTGTTTTATTTACCCTCTTGGTTATTAACAGTACTTTTATTTAAACGAACTGCCTGAAAAAAATGCTTGTGCCATATGGAAAAAGGATTAAAAATGCCTTTCTGATGAGAGCCTGACCAGAAGCACAGGAACCACCGCTGGAGCCCATCCAGATGCAGCACTGCTCTGCTCGTCACAGAGCAGTAATGCAATCCCACGAAGAATTCTGGGTGATTGCTAAAACGGGGTAACACTGCCAGGTTAGCACTTACAGACATGATATGTGCAATAGGAGCACTGACTGCCTGCCTCCCAGCAGAGCTGCCATCCCATGTTCTGCACTGACCCCTCGTGGCTCCTGACTCGGAGCAGCTCTGTGCTCTGCAGTGTGTTCTGCTGATGTCTTATTGGCAATAGGAGAATCCTAAAGGACAACACAAGACCTCAGTGTGCCACATAGCATCTCAAAAGTGCTGCTGATCTGGGGGGCTTAGAGCCATGTACCCTATCACTGATTGCTGTGATAGTGGCAATAAAAATAATTATATCGCTGGGTTTCTAGTTAATACTGGCATAGCGAATCCCTAAGTGTCCAAAAAAGAAAGGCTCTTTTGATACACATTCCCACTGATTTTTTAATTTTGCAAAGTACTGCCAATTTTCAACCATAATAATAAAAACCCACATAGGGTGTAGAATTTGCTTTAAGCATAAAACCCACTTCAGTATGGACAAAAAGCAAAGTGCTGCTCAGTGTCAGCATTCACACACGTGAAATGAAGGCACTTTCTGCATGATGTGAAAACACAAGAAGCTGCTTTTGCTCCATCAGAACATCTTCAATGGGCTTTGCAACACACTGTCACTGAGAATTGACCATCCACCACCTGTTCTGCCATCCCTGTGCATCCGTGGGTTCTACCTGCAATTACAGCTAAATACCCTATTGCAAAAAAAGTATATATTTAAACACTACCTACAAACTGCTTTGATTATTGTTTAAAATACATTTAAACAGAACCTTGAGGCTTCCCCGCATTAAACAATTTCCATCAATGAAACCAAAATGTGATTTTCTTTCTGAAGAAGAGGAGGTGTAAAGGACTGAGGAGGAGTACTCAGAGACACCAGCTAAAGGATGGAGGGTAAGGAAACAACGACCCACTGCCTGACAGATGGCATCATCACTGCACTAGGAAATACCTGGTATAGGCAAGTGACCTTATGCTTTGTTTTTCTGGTAAAATTGTGCTTTAATAATAAAAACAAGATTCAAAATCTGATTTTTAAACTGAGCATTTAATACCCTGTGCTCTAACATCCAAAGCACCTCAGATCAACCTCAGGTGTTGAGGTACTACCAAGTGACAACAGCTTCAGCAATCTTAGATTTGTGAAGCAGGAGCTTCACTTTGTAATTTAAATTGTAATCTGATCAATGTATGAGACTGAAGTGTGATTTGGGTCAGTAATAAAGCAAGAAAATTCATCAGAGATCACATGCAAGTTAAAAGTTCAGATGCACACGGTCAATGCTGGCACATTTTGTTTTGTGAGATGGAGGTTAGTGAAGGAAGAAAGAGAGGAAGTGAATGTGTGGGTTAATATTTGGGTATTGGATCCTTTGTGCATGTGGATTATATCCCATGGATAACATGGGATACAGTATACAAACAGATGTAATAGATGAAACAGATGTAATACATTAGATCACAATATATGCATGCTACATATCCCACACATCCATGTTTTTAAACATCCAGTGAACATGAGAACTATTTGATCCATGGAAGTTAGAATTCCACAAGTGTATTTCAAATTAAAGATGCACCATTTCCCATCTTCCACGAGAAGGTGCCATTGGTTTAGCAGCGAGAGCACTGAGCTCCACAGAGCCCCTGGTGTGCATACATCCAGCCGACCTGGGGGTGCTTTGTGGCAGTTTATGGAAGATGTAGTCTTCACATTTATTTATTTTTTTTTAATTTAGAAAGCTTAAATTGGGAAACTAAAGCTTAAACTGGGAAATAAGTGCATCCTTATAACACGGTGAGAATGAAATTGAATTTAATCAGCTCGGGACATTCGTAGAGAGTGTTTTGTGAAGAGAAAGATGCAGAACACTGAAGAGCTACCTTGAAGCAGCGGACATGTACATGGCAGTCCTGCAAGAGACAGGAAAGGGAGAAAACTGCTGTGTTAGCACAGGGCTGGTGAAGGAGAGCAATATCAGCATTCGTAGCAGATGGACACGATCAGGACGCAGCAGTGAGAAGTTAGATGGGCACACCTGTCTGCACAGAAACTGCAGTAGAGAAACCACAGCACCATTTGCTCCAGCTCAGCCAGGCACATCCATGTGTTCCACGTATGAGGCATTCCCAATGGCCTCAAACCACTGAAAGGCACCAAGGCAAATGTATATGGGGATGTGTGAAGTCAAGGCTGCTGGCAGCACACACACAATGCAGGCAGGTGACAGCACAAAAAAGCTTTGAATTTTCTGCCTTGTTTTGAGCATCTAAAATATACGGATCCCCATAACCAGTGTGGCTTGCTATGAACTTGCTTCATCTTCAATCACAACACATACACCAAGAAACCCCTCGCAGAGAAACCAGCACCTCCCAGGAACTGGGACTGATGGATGTCACCTGGTTCAGAACTGTTGCATTCTCTCCTTTCAGAGATGGTGAGTGGATGGGAAACCTCCAGTTAACTGCATATGGGAATTCCCCATGCCAAGTGACAGTACAGAACAGATGGAGTCATCTCACAGCATTTCTATACTGCTGCAAACTACTCTCTAATGATTAAATGTGCACAATTTTAAAATAGGAATGGGTGCCACAGACAAAAAAAAAAAAAAAAAAGCAGCTCCTCTTTTTATAGCCATGAAGAGCGTGGATTGATGTGCCAGTGAAATGTTGGCTGGCCACGATTTCAGTGCACTTAGTGTCTGTTTCCTGAAAAGTAAATTCAATCTTTTCTTTTGCAGTTTGGAGAGTCAGCAGCAATATTATTTCTCTTTTCCCTTTGCTGAACTGCCTGAAGTTACAGCTATTGCCTCAATAGGAGATGTGTGCAAGCTGTGTGTGGGTAGGGCAGAGACCAACTTCTTATTTACTGCAGAAAACAAAAGCATGAAGTGACTGCAGTACAACAGCTGTGAGGCAAAAGCACAGGCATCCCCAAAGGCTGGGGAGAAATATCCCCTTATCAGACTTTACAGGGAAATGTGCACAGACCAGAAA